TCTTTACTGCTTACGTCTTACTGCTTAAGTTTTTCTGTATGCCATGGTCCTAACGCTAAAACGAGCGTCTCATGAATTTGCACCTTGTATATTTTGTATATTACGTAATATTTATGACAACAGAATATATAAAACGAAACACTTGTCGAACTCTTCTTTGTAAAATTTCTTTATCATTAGAATGTAGTCCTTCAACAATTCTCTTTATCGAAATTTTAATATGTATTTGGCTACACAGCAATGACTCTTTCTTATATACATTTATATATTACTATTATTATTATATACGTGTGTCTATAATACTATTATTACTAATTACATTTTCAAGCATAGTTTTATGTTATATTAAAATTTTTCTATTCTTAAATTCTCCAATAAATTTTGGATCGCAATTTTTATTTCCAAATTCGTCAAGAAATCTGTGGGTATTATTTTTCCTAAAATTCAATTTTTCCGGTCACAGCGTAATATAAATACACTCCAATGCAAATACATAAATATGTTTGTGTAAAATTTTGTTTTCTTCTTTCATGTTTTAAACAACCGGAAAAAATAAGGAAAAAAAATATTTGAGACAAGGTTTTAAAAAGGAACTACATCATCCTACGGAATGTATTAGGGTTTTACATAAATACAAAAACCTTTGTAATTACGCACACTTGTTGCACTTACTTTTTGTGATAAGATGCTATGCAAAGTAAAACACGTAATAAAGTTTTTAATTATTTTAAAAAAGGCAAGATCAACACCGACACTTTTTAGTCCCGATTATGCAAGTGTTCATTATGTAACAGCTTTATGAATACATGTCCATCGCAGAAATATAAATCAATAAACGAGCAGCGACAATTCTGGTAAGCGGCTTGGAAAATCTGCCTTCAGAGAGATAACAAGAAAGCAGAATGAGAATGTAATCCAATTATGAATACGCTATCGCTGTTTCTGTTAACATTAATTTATGTATGACGTTACTATCATTGTCACGTAGTTTAAATGAGTCACATTTTATGAAAATTTCTCTGGAATTCCATCTTCGCTTAATAACGCTTTCGCCTCTGAAACGAAACAAATTGCTACCTTCACAGCGCTAATTTAAAAAATATGAAGTCTACAAAGATATAAGTTATTATAATATATACAAAATAGCAAATAACGAAATAACAAAGCAACTTTAATTATATATACATATATTTAAAACACATTATAAATGATAAACGCCATCAAAGAAATCATAAAAGGAAAAATATATTTGAGCTCTTCATGGAACCGTTTCTTTAAACAGGTTATTCGAAGGCTTAGGATTCAAGCATTAAAATGATAACGTTTAAGAATATTTATTAATACATAAAAAAGGATAAAAAAAATATCGAATTTGATCGCATATAAGATTTATACTTGTTACAGTTCATCATTCCAATAAATAATTTAAAGAACTCTCCTGGAGAATAGAAGGGATAATAACGATTTAATATCTGAGACGCATAAATTCTCCGATTATACTACAATGGATCATTCATTGTTCTTTTATAAATTATAGTTCTCTTCGATTCTTTACTGCCAGAAATAATCCAGTTTGTTTATGACAATTCGTAAAGCATAAATTTGATGTTCTATACATCGAAATTTTCTTCTTTATGTAGTAGTACGAGCTCTTAATGTTCTTATAGCAACTGATTAAAAAACCGGCAATTTACTTTATCGAACAAATTATATTGTTGAAGATCGACTTTGAACATTACGATATTACTCTTTATCGTTGAGTAATACGGTCTTACAAAAAACTCTTACTTTAATAGGCTGTAAGGAAAGGCAGAAAATTGTCAATCAAACCTCCTACACTCAAATGCTTGACCTATCGGTATTTTATAGAAATTGTGTGTACAAATAGTACACAAACCAGGTAATTAACTTGTAAGTTCAATTGCAGTTTCAAATGGCATTATACGTATCAGAGTTTAGCCAATCCCAAAAGTATATGCATGAACAAGTACTGCATTGAATATGTCCAATGAGAAATTACAACAATTTATATTGCTATAATATCTCTAGAGAAAAAACTTGCAGTTTAAAGAGATTTTTTATGAGCTATTTAAAAATTAAATTGTACATCAACGTAGCAATTAAAAAACCGGAATGTGTGCCTTTTGTCTCATTGAAGTTAAAGTTTATCGGTTCGTTGTTTTGATATAAAGTTTTTTTTTTTACAGAAGTATTTACTGAGTATTTAAAAAAATTTTTACCCTGTGCGTATGAACATGTACCCAGATGATCCCGTCGGTTAATATTAGATCGTATAAATTTTTCTCTCAATTATATACCACGCAAAATTGCGAAAAAATTTTGATAAAATGTATTAAAGTTATTAATTGAAATTTGCACGTGCGTATGAAATAGTACTTGAATATCGCAAATATTTAAAATGATTAGCAATTAATCATAAAACAATGTCGGAATCATTATTTTTTAATTAAAAATAGAATATTATAATCTGAATTACATTTGATCAATAATGCAGACATTGATGAGGCATGATAGGGATCAGAGCTCTCTCTCTCTCTCTCTCTCTCTCTCTCTCTCTCTCTCTCTCTCTCTCCCCGGGTACCGTCGTCAGAAAAGGGAGAACCGGCGAATTTTTCGCCGATTTTCGGAGCACGATCGTTCGACTGCAAATCGGAGCGAAGAACCGACGCGGAGCGCGGTTTCGGTCCGAAGAGAGTGCACGGAACGTATTCCTTTCTTTTCCTCGCCTCGGTGGAATGCCCCTCCTCGAACGCCCGCCCTGTCAGGACGTCAGCTGGAACTTGCGTGGAACGTCCTGGTTGCGCGATGTGCCGCCGCTGCAGCTTCTAGTCCGTCGCCGCGCTCCGACAGACGACGGCGGCCGCAGACGGGAGGTACGGAGGAGCGGCGATCGTTAGACTTTTACTCCGTCACCCACCGTTACATCGCGATTCGCGACGTGGTGCAATCCGCGTTCGCCTACCCTATAACGCGGAGGAGAAACTCCGATTCTCTGACACGGATAAGGAAGACATCCGCTCGAGTACGCCCCATCGTCAACAGGCGGGAGAGCTGCACGCGGGTAATTTCTCGAGCATCGACTGAACTTCGTCTCTTCACTCTTTCTCTCTCCTCGTCCTCCCCCCTCTCTCTCTCTCTCTCTCTCTCTCTCTTCGCGGCTACGCAGTCAATTATATACATACGTATGTATTTAGATATATATATCCCACGCTCTCTGCTCGCGCGAGAAAAGTGCCTCCTCATCAAACTCGCGTGTAGCATCCATTAATGATCCAAATGCAGTTGTCGTCGAGAGACAAAAAAAAAGTAAAAGAAAAAGAAAGAGGGAGAGAGAGAAAGAGAAAAATCGTACTGATCTTATTGTTAGATTAGCTTGTATTACACGATTTTTGCCATTTCCTCCGATGTCATCCGGCGAAAGTATATATGTTGCGGGACAAACGTCAGCAAGAGTGTCGAGAAAACACTCGATGCAAATTAACTACGTAGGTCCATCGTACTCCCCGACCAGAATGACAAACTCGCGACCGACCGCGTCGTGCCAGTATACTTCGCACGGCACTTGGCGTCGTCACATCTGTTCACGGGCCACTCGTTCTCCCGACGAATTTTCTCTTGAGACGTTTGTATCCCGTATTTTTCTCATGACACGCTGATACTCTAAAAAAAATAACAAAAAAAAACGATCGCGACGGGGTCCAGCAGGTACTCGATGGAGCGTCGCCGCGTTTGGCGTCGGTGCGCGTTACGCGCCGCGTGGTCGCTGACTATTATTCCACCTATTTATCTCCAACTTCTCTCTTTCTCTCTTCGGACTATCTGTCGGTCTCGCTTTTAACTTATATAAGAGAGCACTGTCGTCTGCAATGTGAGTGCAAACGTCCCCGCCGCGGTGGCAGAGGCGAGCCTCGAACTTGCGGCGCCCCGGTCTCGCGATCGTTATAATATTGCCATGAACGTTAGGATCGTTAATGTCGCGGCTGGAATTAATATTAGCGCGTGCACGTTGCGCGCATCCGCACACGTGCCACGCGCGGAGTACCTTCATTATACACGCAGAGCGTACGCAGAACATGTCATCTCGTTGTTGCATATATTCGCTGCGCTAGAAAAGTGGCACAGGTCTCAAATTAGCATTTTTCTTTTTTATTTTATTAGATAATGAAGGGAAAACATTTTCCTTTATTCAGAAATCGATCTTAAAGATTTTAGGATTTGATTTCCTTTCGTTGAAAATGCTAATTTTCGACTTGTGTCACTTATTTATCTGCCAACGCAGCGATACGTCATGCACGTTCTAATACTACATATATATACGCATATGCATCATTCGATACGGCAGATGATTTGCTCCGCTTGTTATTGCGAGTTATATATTTTGTTATTCATCGTAATATAATCTTGTTATTACTCCACAACCTTATTGCAACCTTATTTCCCCGCCGCTCGCGAGCATTTCCCCAAACGACGCAATTCCATGTATCTCCTCGCAATTGCTTCTCGGGCCGTTCGCGGCGATACATGGAAACGGATTATATGTATGTACTTTTCGAGTAACCGCGCGCCGCGGAGAACGCATGGCGTGCGGAGATTGGAACTCGACCGTCGACCCACAGTCGCGGCACAGTTAAAAATTGATTTATGCCCTCCCTCTAACATTGTACGAGACGCGTCGTATCGCTCGGCGTTGCGGCATATTCGCGATCATTTGCCCTAACGACCGCCGCCGATTGCTGCGTGTGTATATGCCGCGATTTAAGCGGCGCGTGCCAATGCCGTTTGCGATCCTATCGCCTGCGTCTCGGGCGGAACGTCTCATTGTCAGTTTCTGCCGATCGACGGCGACGTCGTCGGGGCACACGTCGACGGGCGCGGACAGGAGGAAGGGGGGAGGAGGGAGGGAGGGAAATGTCGGAAACATGATAGAGACGCCACGCGACGTGGTGCGCGATCGACAGGTATTACACGTGATACCACGCGACACGCGATACGATGCGATATGATTTCCGGCGTAACGTGACACCCGATCTCGTCCCGCGACGCGCGCGGAGCAGAGAGAGGTCCGCCGCGTTTACTGCGGCGGCGAGCCCACCGTCGCAGTTCCGCGATTAGCCGCTGAAAGAGGTCGGCAATAAGAACCACCGTTTACCTAATTAACGCGGCCGACGGACGTACGCGGCTCGGCCGTTGCGCGGCTCGTTGACCCCGCGTGCAATTCTTGGACTTGGACCGTCCTTCGGCCGGATTGATTTACACGTCGCTCGACGCGGCGCGCGGCGCGACGACGACGACGAAGAAGAAGGCGAGTAAAGCCAGGCGACGCGACGCGGAGGCGAACAAAAAAGGAGAATGGAAGAAAGCGGAGGGTAGTGCGCCGACCTCCCCCCTCGTGCTCCACCGCCTACTCGATTTTTCTCATTATACTTGGCGGCGACGATGGCCCGGTCCTCTCTCTTTCTACTCGCTCCGCGGCTGACCTCCCTGCGACCCGTTCTGCAATGCGTCAGCAACGGCTTCTACCGCCGCCGCTGGCGCGCGGTATCTACAGTTCGCTCCCGCACGTTCTACATCCGTTACTCCGCTCCTCTCCTCTCTCTCTCTCTCTCTCTCTCTCTCTCTCTCTCTCTCCCGAGACTACAATGCGGGTACATTAGGCGTTATATATGCCTCTAACGTTCGCCCGAATCGTTTTCTAAACACATTTCCGCCAGGTATACACACCTAGTTATCGCAGATCGTAAATACCCTGCAGTGGTAAAAAAAAAAAAAACAGTGGTTAAAGGCAATAACTATAACGCAGGCGGGTAATAAGCAACAGCTATTTAAAATTTTACACACTGCGAGCTTGATTAATGCCATTGATAAATGTTGACATATTCGGTGTATTTAATATTAAGCGATGAAAGCGACAATTCCATCGGTATTTCTACTGGAAATTATTAACGAATTGATAAAGGAAATTACCAACGCGATTAGAGAGATATTCCGAAAGCGGCTTCGGAATCACGAACCCGTGGAATTTGCTATTCGTTGCAATTCTACGGAAATATCCACCGAAGCTATTAGGATTTGACTATTTAAAGCGGACTAATAGTCGTTTCTGCTATATGTATATCGATGACGTCAGAGCGATATTTCTCTGACTAAATACGTTCTTGTAAATGCATACATAGGACTGTGAAATAGAAACTAAAATCAATTTAAAACCTTGAAAATAGCTCGGCTGGCGCGTCATTGATTAAAGTTTCAGAATGCGTAAAAACAGTGTAATCACATTGAGCGATCAGTCATACGTATATGTCGCATTGATTATGTTGCATTAATTTTTCTGTGTTCTTAACAACAGATGGCGAACGAATAAGAATATCGTGAAATATTTTTCCAAACCTTTAACCTTATTTCATATTGTTTCGCATGACGCTTCGCATTATTTTTAAGAGCAAAAATTTTAGTAAATTTTCTCATTTTAAGTAATTGGTATAATTAAACCGACTACCTCATCATTTTAATAGCACAATACTAATTTCCGCATGGAAAGTATCAATCATCAGGAGGACTTCTTTCGATTAATAAAGTACAGCAATTATAAATTTACGACTAAATTGATCAAATTCATCATATTCTAATATTTTTAATTTTCAAACTAGTTTAGGAAGTAAAAGATACTTGCTCAAACATCGCATAATTTTTAATGTCGATAACATATTTTCTTAGTAAATTGAGATGGTATTTTATGGCATCAATCAAATGCAAGTGAAACATTCTTAGCTATTTATACCGAAAATCTATAATACAATATTATTGATTTCAGTAATAACGGGTGTGATATTCGACTGGAAATTCGGAAATAAAGCTTACGTATTATGATTTACATTCTTCAAAATATAAATAGAGGGAAAAGTACGATACAATTAATTTAAAGAAGAATTGTATCGTTTATTATTCAATTCTCAAATGTGTTATTAAAGGTAAGAGGCACAATAACTAATCCAGGCGGGTAAACTTTATTTTTCATTACATTTAAATTTGGTTTAATTTGTTTTTGCTATCGACGAATCGTTTGTTTCTACTGCGAGTCAAATGCCTCTTGCTTTAGACGTTTATTTTAATGTCCTTCGCAATTGGCGCATAGCAGAAAGTATGAAAACAACTTATTGTCATATCGGTAAAGATCGATGAGTCTTGCTAAAAGTTGATGATGACTTTTGTTATCAGTTCTAACTGACGTAAACCATCTGCTGCTTTGTCGTACACGTAATAACTGTAGTATATGCTTGGTTTACTGCATATTGCTTGAAACGATTGTTCATATATTGTGTTTACAAGCGTATTAAAAAGCCGTAACATATTCGCGAGATGACGGAAAGCATTACGCCCGTCATCAAAAATGTCAAAAGAAATCAGCATACATGCCGCTCTTGGAATACATGTAAACTCTTCTCGACGTAACATTCGGCAATTTAAAAAAATTAGAGCCAGTTTTAGCTCGAAGATTGGCTATTTACGACTCGTAATGAATCAAAAGAACTGAGCTATCTATAGCACATGGACGATGATTGCCGCATAATATCTTAACCTCGCCGGCAATTTGAACCGAGATACAGTCCTCGCATGGCGGATTACACGGAATCACAGTAATAGTAATAATAATAATCCGGCAAAAAGAACTGCGTTTGAAGGGATATCCAAAATATCGCTCTCTCTGCAGCAGATCGTCATCTATTCACCGATTCAGTCGTCGTTAACGGTTCGATAAGACACGATAAGGCAACCGATTACATTTGCAGATTATATGATATCTAAAAATACGAGGTCAGATTGACACGCGAAGAGCCAGGTTGTAACTAATTATCCACCACCCTTTCCGATCAATAATTTTATATATGAAGCGTTTTATCGATGCGATCACTCGGACACGCGGAACGGGCGGATATACATATTCCATTTTCCAATTCATTTTTAATCACGTGATGCACGTTTCGCTGAATGAACGGAGGAGCGGACACTTGCCACAAATTCCATTTCATGAAAGTAGGTCTCGTCCAAAGACACTTCCCGGAAAGCGTCAGCGAAACAGGCAGACTATTGAGCGACGAGGCTTTCGAGTTTCGCATCGTGACTCAGTGAATATTACGCTTTGCATATCTCGAGTAGTTGTCACCTGGCATTATCGACATGTTTCCTCCTAGGCGCACAATATTATCGTAACAAGCGGATATTATAACATTATAACCCGCCGCATGCAGCAAGCGTTGCCTTGGGATGCGTTTGACGTGAAAGTCGCGGGTAAACTAATTCAAAGTTTTCTTACGAGCGTAGCGCTTTTACTCATTCCGCTCGAGATTAAATCTGCAGCTGTTTGCTAATCGAACGAACTTTAGAATGTCGGAGACGACAAATAAAGTGGAATTTAACTTCAATTATTTACAATAAAGCGTGGATTACAGTTTGCTTTATTTTCAACGGTATTTGCAGTTTTAGGAAATAATGTTGCCGTGAGTTTTGGAAATTTTTTAGACTGTACAAACTTGAGTTTTTATTCTTTTTCGAGAGAAAAATATTGCCGACAGAATCTGAATTCACGATTATGCTCTCTAAATTCGCATTTTAATAGTAAAAAAAAAAACACATTAGATTTAATTACAAATTTAATATAGAGGTATATAATGTAGGACATATTTAGATAGAATGTAGACTTTTGAGAACAGATAATATTGAATTTATCGGTAATCGAGTTGACACATTCTTTAATATATTGGGAAAATCGAACGACATTTAATATTAAGTTCAGACATGACTTTACCTTAACGTTTATGAATATTTAACTGTTACACGTATATATAACATTGTGTTTGTGGGAGCTTCCAAGCATCTTTAGATACGCTCTGCATCGTGGCTCGGTATTTCGATGGCTCATTCGTATAAGATTTATATAGATCTGTAAAATCAAATTTAACGATGAATAGACAATTCCTTTGGTACCGAAACTGGAGCTGCGAGGGAAAAGCCGACCAGATGCTGAATGGAAATTCATATAAAAGAAGGTTTAATGTGGCGTGCTCGCGGTGCGCGGCCGAGAATGGAGTTCACCGGGCGTCGTCGAGGTTTTCGAGAATGTATTAGTCAGAGGCGTGATATATATATATATATATATATATATATATATATGTGTGTGTGTGTATGTATCTACGCGCTCGTTCAGGGTTAAGGCGATATGGAAATCGAGGCTGAGATCGCGAAGCTTCGCTGTTCTAAATATAGAAGAAAACCCTTTTTCTAGAGTTCACACAAATCGCAACTCACATATATAGACATACACAACGGACGATACGTATTTGGAGTGACTATCCCCGTTTCAGATTCTTATTCCCTCCGGACGTGCCCAGTATACACGTGCCAACACATTCAACACGACTACGCTTTTTTTTTTTGCGAATATCTGTACGTGCAATCATGTCATCTTCGTAATTTATCAAATTATCGTTTTAGTTTGACGTGATGGATGACGGTCGTAGATTATTTTCGGCACGAATATGATTTCCCTCTCCATCTCCTGCCGCATCTTCGATTGTTCCAAGATCGAAGAGGTCAAGCTTGAGAGGACGTCTTAAGTCGTCATCATGATTGCTACCTTCTAAGGAGTTATTATGTCGGACATGTATTAGTGTTTTACCAAAAGAGATGTTCTCTAAAAAAAAAAGGTCATCAAAATTAATTGACTCCTCTGCCGGGGATTTCTTTATTGAGCCGAGGAAAAGTCATCAAAATTGACTCTTTTGTCGGAGATTTTTTTTATCGAGCCCAAGAAAAATCATCGTGTTTTCCCAGAAGGAAAATTATCAAAATTTAAAGCGGTCGTCCGAAGATTATTTTCGTGTGCCGGAGAGTCGGAGATTCGTTGGATGACCCGAAGTCTCCGAAAACCAGGAGGTAGCAACCGTGGTCGTCACGAGTCGTATATGCTCCGATTATAATCGAATATTGAGACATATACGTGATTAGATATTTTGGACGAGTTAAGATTTAATCGTCCAAATGATTGCGTTTATTATATGTTTATTATACGTGTATGCAAACAGTTTATGCTAAAAGTTGAATGGATACCTAAGTAGCTATAAATCACTGAATAATTTATATAAGAAACGCAACAAAGTATTTAACGTATGTATGTTCGTACTTAAAGTACACGGCATTATGCAACGGACATATCGAATGCATGACATAACATTTACGTGTCCTTGCGCTAAGGCTAAGTGTCCGCTTGAGAGCTTTATTCGTGACTTCGCTTTCGAAGTCAGCGAGCGTACCTACATACGTGGCACTCTCGATACACTATAGGATATTGAGACGTCATCGAACGTATCGCGCGTTCTCGAGAGTGGGAAAAAAAGCTGTCGAGTGGACAAGCATTGCGTTGACATCTGCACACTGACGCATCGTTTCCGCGTTTTTTTTTTTTCAGGTCTAGCGCATATCTTATCAACGGTCAGGTCGAGGACATCTTGTTCCGGTTCGGTTATCGGATGTTGTGCACGCATTTGGCGGCTACGGAAACGACAGCGGTAGTATCATCTGTGCCGGAGACAGCGGTCGGGAACTCGAGCGATCTGGCAGGTGAGAGGGCATATTGCATGAGCAGGGGTGACTGTCGGTGATGGACAATGAGCAACCGCACCAGGAACTGGTCAAGTGCGTGGTCGTGGGTGACACGGCAGTCGGAAAGACCAGACTGATCTGCGCCAGGGCCTGCAACAAGCACGTGTCACTGTCACAGCTTCTGACCACTCACGTGCCCACGGTCTGGGCTATCGACCAATATCGGATTTACAAGGATGTGAGTCCGCCTACGCCTCATTATACAATTTTCTTTCGCTTAAAGACACATTTGGTGCAATCGGTGGTCAAATTTAAATCGAAATTACAATGCACACGGAAAGAGCGCGTAATTTTGCTAAAGTATCTAAAAATTTAACTAGGCACAGATTTGAAAATAATTATGTAGGTTGATGAGCAATGCTGCAAAAAGTTTTGACATTCTAGCCAGTTTGAGTCCTATACGTAATTATTTTAATGGTTCTATATAATTATTCTGATGGCCTAATAAAATTATTTTTTTAAATTTGTGTGTAGCTAAATTTTTAAGCAAAACCGTTGTTTTTGTGTATAATAATCAGTGAATGAACAATGTGAATTATATTGTGTAAATGTACAATTTATGTAATATTACTACTTAATATTAAATAAAGCTTGAATTACGAAGTGATTTAACAATAAAAATTCAGAAGTCTCTCTTTTTCTATTTAGACTTTGTTAAATCAATAACAGCATGTTTATGTTTATCATTATCAAGTTGAAGGCTATCTCTATTATTAATTTTCCTTGAAGTGTGTAGCGATATTAAATAACATAGTGTGATATGTGTATCAGGTGTTGGAGCGATCTTGGGAGATAGTAGACAATGTAAACGTGTCGCTACGTCTCTGGGACACATTTGGCGATCACGAGAAGGATCGACGTTTCGCATACGGCAGGTAAGACTGCCTCGTCGAGACAGAATTCGCGAATCGATATTAATTGGAATGGATTGGTTTCACCAGGTCTGACGTCGTGTTACTATGTTTCTCCATAACCAACCCCGTTTCCTTGCGAAACTGCAAGGTGATGTGGTATCCCGAGATAAGAAGGTTCTGCCCGCAGACACCGGTCCTATTGGTCGGATGCAAAAACGATTTGCGGTATATGTATCGGGACGAAACTTATCTCAGTTACTTCCGCGACCGCAGCCCCTTTGTAAGGTAAATTATTTCCTTTAAAAAGTTAACTAGAATAAAAATTTGAGAAATTGAAAGAAATTGTAAGTTGAGAATTTGAAGAAAATTCTTTTGTGAGGTCAAATTTAGAAAATTCAGAAATATTAATTTTTTTTCAAAATCTCAAAATTCTTTATCTTCAATAAAATTTTTACAATTTTGAAATTTTATAATTTCTCTGTACGTATGAATACATAACGTAGAGTTATAAATTAATTCTTTAAAGAGAACGCGATGATAGATTCAGTTTTTCATTTTGGATTCATTTTTTTCATATTTGATAATTTAATTTGCTAATTTTATCTCACAAAGTTTTGGCAGAATTTATTGTTTCAAAAGTATAAAAAGTACTCTTCCAAAAACTAATTTAAAGCACATTTAGTTATTTCGATCGATCGCATCTTTTTTTGGCGACAAACAGAATTCGCGTGCGGATGTCCGATTTTTTTTTAGCCTCGTGTGAAATTCATTCACTCGCATCGGTGCTCCTTCAACGATGGTCAGTTTACCGAAGTGTGTCAAAGTATTGATTTTTCAGCGAGTCTCCGTAAGCTTCCTCGAAATCTCTTACCGGCAAAAAATATTCATTACGATCAGCTTATGCGGCATCGCGGCATATGAATTTTATATAACGACGCTGGGTGATCGATTGAAACGCTTAAAATTCTCGATAGTTGAGTAATCGGGTCGCGTCCAAATTAACCGAACCTTGGACACAACGGCGATTACTCCCTCGGGAGAAAGCCGGAAAGTTCCTCGTGACTTTTAACGATCCCTTTTCTTTATTGCAATCAGAATGACTTCATCGTCGTTTCAGCTTCACCTTTGGAAATAACATATATATTGCGTTTAATACGACGTTTCGCAACGGTTGCACCTTCGAAAGCATAATCAATCTCGGTCGCGATTGCTTTGCAGGGCTACGAGGAAGAGCGATCTGGTGATGCCGGATCAGGCGCGGGCGGTGGCGCGAGAACTCGGCGTGTGCTATTACGAGACGAGCGTTTTCACTTATTACGGCGTGAACGAGGTGTTCGAGAATTCGATACGCGCCGCCCTGATCGCACGTCGTCAGCAGCGCTTCTGGATGACGAACCTGAAAAGGGTGCAAAGACCTTTGTTACAGGTAACTGACGATGTAAACGATTTTACGACAGACTTGTCTTTCAGACAGAAATATAGAAGAGCCTTCGCTCGACCTCACAATCTTTGATATTGTTTCTGAATAAATATAAAATTAAGATGTTTGAAAAGAGGACGAATCCGACGAGTCCTCCGATTGATGTTGAGTCCGAGTCCTTTGATTGATGCTTTATTCTTTTTCGCGTTGATAAGACTATGATGATTTTACTCGACAGGCGCCGTTCTGTCCACCAAAACCAGTACCGCCGAAGGTATGCCTGGCTGCGAGTACCTATGAGGAGAACATGAAGAGCCTGTGGACGAGGCCGGTTCACACGGACGTCACCCTGATCGCGAGTAACTGCACGTTCTCGGTTCATCGGTGCCTTCTCGCCGCCGCCTCGCCGGCATTTCATCGGCTCTTCTCGATGGAACTCGCCCAGGAATTGACGCCGCGCAGCTCCAGCGAGTCCAGCATGGTATATGCCAGCTCTATCAGGTTCGGAGGTAGTAACAGGATAACACAATAACACATGTTTCCCTTATTGTCTCGTCAAGGTGAGCACTTTCGGCGAGGCCACCGTCGGTGACTTCAACGACGATACCGAGTGCCTAATTCGTATCGATCAAAGCAAATCCGCAAAGTGAGTTACTTCATTCCTCGTATGTTTACTCCTGCGTCGATTAACCCTTTATTTGGCAAGCCGCAGTTTAACACGTGACGAAACATGTCTAATTTTGCGGCATTTGCGTTGCGCTAACATCGCTGAGTGTTCGCTTGGGCTTGATACTAACTGGAAGAGGGCACGCCTATATTGAAACATGCTTCGATCATGCGGTTCAATCCGACACACACTGACATCGCTCGAGGATACTATTGCCAAATAAAGAGTTAGATGCAGATCCCCCCCCCTCCCCTTTAGCCTTTGCACGGTCTTTAAATGTCGGCACATTCGACTTTACGTAGCGACGGAACAGACAGTTTTTTTTTTGCAGTATTTCGTTGATAAAGAGTTTGTATACTTGATCGTGTCCCCGCGACGTGACAAATCAAACGAGTGACGTACGTTGCAGGGTCTGGGAGCAACTTAAGCGACGGTCGAGTTTTCAAGTACTGCCGACGATGGATAATCAGAGGAAGAGTAACGGCGCGACGATGAGGGAGCTGAATCATCCTGCCTTCCAAAATATTCGTATATGTCTGGTAAGTAGTTTTTTTTTTACATTGCGAAACTCGCGTCGCCGTCGTCGCCTCGCGTCATTAATTCGCCGTTTCCGAACGCTTTACAGACTGAGAATGCGAACGGAGTGCAGCAGCCCATGACCGTGATCACGCTGTCGAAGCTGATCACGCCGCAGGCGATGCAGCAGTGCTTGCAATTCATTTACACGGGCAGCTTGGACAAACGGTATCACGATCTGCAAGTACGTTGGGTCGGTAGAAATTATCATAAGAGAAAAGGTACATTCGAGAATGTAAGAGAAGACCCTTAATGTTATGTTTATCCGTCGCGGAAGTAACGCGCGTTGAATGAAGCGAACGGAAATATATAGGCGCGGTATAAAAAGAAAATGAAAACGGAGGAGCGAGGTTTATCTCGCGTAGGTTTACGACAAGGTACATAGAGAAACTCGATCGAGTATAAGTGTGCTCTCCAGAGTGTGTTTTGACTGCCTTTGCGGTTACGCCAAGCCCTGCCATCCTTACATCAGGTATAATTTTGCAGCGACGTTTTGCATTACATGAATTGTACAATTTGAGGAAGCACGACTGAGAAATCGCGAATGCTCGCCCGACGTATCGCGTTTGATAAAAGATACCACGGTGTGTACAATTGTAAATGATCTCTTAAGAGCGTGAGCTAAAATCGCAAACTGTTGCAGAATATGCAGAGTAACTAACGCGGCTCTATTCTTTCAGACAGCTCCTATCGGGCTTCTACTGGTTAGTACAAAAGCGAAATTGCGTTTTGGAAATTTGGCAGTCGCATTAATACATACGTACACGTATTTACATGCGCACGCACGCACGCACACATATATATATATATATATATATATATAGTAGCCTCATCTATAGCTGATCTGTTTTTCGACTTTGAAGATTTATAATTGCGCGATCATATCATCTTACGAGCATGCGCCTTTACGACTAATTAATTACTAATATTACGAGGCAAACACTCGACGCATTTTCAGAAATTAATTTTTCAATCGAGCAATCAGAACAAAAATTAAATATTAAGAATAAGATCGTGAGACAGATAATTATTAGAGAGCTGAGAGGCTGTTAAAGTCCGCTAATAATTGTTTTACGTATCTCGAAAACGCGTTTAACTGTTCTTTCTAGAGAAATCTATTTAATGTCGTATAATCTAACGACTTACATCGATTTTCGACGTTTAGCTGATAGGCCATGCTCATTATATGCTTATAGTTCGCGAATCATCGCTTCCGTAGTATCGTGCGATCATTCTCTTCGACATCATCGAGCGGGGGGTGGGAGAGGGAAAAGGTCTCGAGGAATCGACGCACGGTCGACCTCGACCGGCGGGTGCCGTGCATGGATACGCTTCCAGTTGTTCTCACCGACATTCTAGAATCATTGCCTAGTAGGATAGGTCCTCTAGCGATTCGGCAACGATCAGATCTCGTGTCTTTCTTTTCTCTTTATTTATTTATTTTTTTTTTTTTTGATCAATCATTCTACGTCGTCGACGATCGCGATGGTGCACCGGTATGATGTCTCGGTTGCCTCTTGCCCGCAGGAGATCAGACAGGCGGCCGAGTTTCTCGAACTGCCGCAATTACTCATGGTGCTCGGTAGTATACAGACGCGGGAGCAGTTCGTCAATAGCGATCTCAATAATCGGTACAAGCACGTGGTTAGACAACGACTGGAAGATATCTGCCTGGAGCAAGGTGGGTGCGAAACGGGTCGAAAAAAATTAAATTATGTGAGCGTTGGACTAAGATACGTGATATACTCAGGTCTCTTCGCCGACGTGATGTTCGAATTAGACGATGGCAGCGTACCGGCCCACAAAGCGATTCTCACTGCCCGATGCGACGTGATGAAAGCCATGTTCTCTGGCGATTTTCGCGAAAGCAGCGCAAAAGTCGTAAGTGAAATATAACGATTTTAAGTATCATAACTGATTGTAATTTTATATGCATGCATGAGTTATATACAAAGTTACTCTGGAAAAATACATTTTATAATATTTTTAAGAATTTTTCATATTTTGATGCATGATTCGAGTTATATAAAATTATTTTGAAAAAATACATTTTATAATATTTTTAAAAATTTTTCATATTTTATATTTATGAAAATTTCTAAATAAAAAAGATAAACTATAAATTTTATAAATTTTCTTTAAAGAAAGATTAGATTTTCTCAACATTTCTGAAGTGTTCAAATTCGTATTAAAAAAATCTGAGTTTTCTAAAAAGTCAGATTATTAGTTATCAAATTTGTATAGAAATTTTGCGAAAAATTGCGTGAAAAATTCTAAGAAATTATTTGATCTCATAATTTTGAACAACTTGAATATAAATTAAGCACAATGGTTGGCAACACACAATTAATACGAGTCATGTCTTACACGATTGCAACGACAGATAGTCTTTCCTGGGGTTCGGGAGTACACATTCCACAAGTTACTCTGCTATCTTTACACGGACGAGGTACCGGCGATCTCCTCGGCCAGATGCCTGAACCTGTTGGAACTAGCCAACAGACTCTGCCTTCAACGATTGGTCAACTTAGTCGAGAGCAGAGTGATTGAGGATCTTGAGCGGCTTTCGCAAAACGAGGGGAACGACGCTGTGGAAAACTGCCTGAGGCTGTTGGAGCCGTGCAAGGTCGGTTTTCTTCGCGCGTTTTAACGTCAATTAAGACGCGATAATGCGGCGGTAGCGGTACCCCGTTTAACGCTCAGTTACGATTTCCAGCTACATAATGCCGATCAGCTGGCCGACTGGTGCATGAATCATCTCTGCGTTAACTATAATAAGCTGTGCAAAATGTCACCTCGCAGCGTGCGGCTGCTTCATCCGGAGAATCAGGAGTATTTGAATGAGCACCGATGGCCGCCGGTCTGGTACGTATTACCACTATTATCAGAGAGGTGACCTCATAAATTCTTTCTGCCATTTGATTTCGACAGAAGAGAAGAAAACTTTTTTTTCCTTATAACTCTTTCTTTACGATACATATCACGCTATTAACGTCGTAGCTTCTATTATGTGTAAGTAAATTTTTATACAAGTAAATGATCTCCGTCCACCGTTCGGGATCAATATTAAATCGATGTAATCGAGATCGATTTAATCAAGATATCGTTATCGTTCAGTTCTCAAATTTGATGTTGCAATAATTGTCTCTGACAGGTACTTGAAGGACTACGATTACTATCAGAAGTGTTTAGCGGAGCAGGTACGCGAGAACAAGCCGACGTTGAAGCGGAATCGCAATCAATCCGGCTGCCTGTGCTTCTCGAGCTCGAGCAAAACCAGGCGGGAGGGTAACACCGGCGGGAACGGCGGCGGCACAAAGTCAACGACGTCGAGCGAAACGCCGGCGGATCGGCCGCTCTTCGACTCCTCGACCGAGTCCGGCGAGCAAGCCGTATGACAGGAACTAAGCGGCCTCAGCCGCTCCGTCAGATTCATCCTGGTCCTACCTGTGCTCATGGTCTTCATATGCACTATTTTTACCATTTTGCTACTGCTACAGATTTATACTTAAGCGGACTGCAAGACACCAAAGAGAGTACGCGTAAACGCACGAAAAACACCTAAATATATATATGTATATATACATATATATATATACACACACATAATACACGTATACATATATAATATTATATATATAAATTATATATTTATTATATGTATAAATATCTAAAAATATTATAAAATATATACATACAATATTTTTATTTTTATACATATAATAAATATATTTCTATATATATTGTACAATACATATATCTATGGATAAATAAAACACACACGTACACACGCAAAACATGCAATACTAATGATCACGCGACGAAAGCCGACTTAGAGCTAGCTAGAGGATGCATTCGATTTTAGCTCGTCGAGGTCGAGTCTTGAGTCCTACTCCCTATCTCGTATGTGATTTCTCTTTTTTCTAATGGAGCCATTCTCCGCGCCGTGCATTTTTAAGAAGCTCGATGCCGCCGATCACCGGATGATCAACGCGAGCGTCCTTTCCGCGAATCTTTCCGCGAATTTTTCGTATCGTGGATCTACGGATTTTTTGCGCGATGCAAGCTCACACACTACTTTTATCTTCCGCAAATGAAGCGAGAACTGCGCGTGTTTCGAGGGAAGACTTTGTACTTTTTCTCTATCGCGCGTTGATATTCCAAAGCGAGTACATTCAGAGACAAAATTGTGTGGATGCCAATAAGAATAAAGATCAACTCACTTTTGTTTAATTCGTTTTTTTTTTCCTTATCAGAATAACGATTGGTGCGAATAAACATATCCATAAACAATCGTTTCACGTATGTACAAACACCTCAAAGAAATGGCAATCTATAAAAAGTAGGAAAGCGAAACTGAGTAGAAAATGTATTATTTTTCGTCGTATATCGAGAAAGAAAAAAAAATATATATATACATATAACGATTAAAGTCGTCAACTATACCTATATTCTATTTTAGCCATAGAATTTTAAGAGTACTTCCATGTGAAAAGTATAAAGTCATATCAGGAGACGCTATATAGATGAAGAGACAAGAAGAATAATGAAAGGATGAAGGGACTAGTTAAAGTAGCATAGTTACGTAGGATTGCTTAGGATTAACGAAATCGCGTTGTATATGATAAACGTCGTATATATATATGCGTATGTTTGTCGACATTCAATGTCTTTCCAGTAAGCGGGATCGTCGGTTAAGCGAGGGAATTAATAGTTAGGCCCGAGCGTCGTCCACTCATCGTTGTCTCTGATTGTACACATGCAACGCAACGCGCTTGCATCATGCGAGTGCGTATCGCCGCCTTCGCCGATGCAAAGTTTCCGTTTTGTCAGTTGTCGAGGGAGGACACGGCGCCGCGCCGGTCGTGCGCATATTAGCATCGATCACGGTATGATTGTCGTTTTTCCGGTCGATCGAATTTCGTGCGTTCCCTCCGCGGACCAGCGATTATTGCGACAATCATCCGCGATCCAGCGCGATTATGGTAATTATTACGCGTATATACGTATAATATATATTTCAAAAGACGTAGGAGGACGCGTGAGACTTAGCGAAGTTCCGAGTAATTAATTGGGTTTGATCGATACGGAAATACGCGCAAGATGTACGTATGTATGTTTAAAGTAAAAGAAACGGGAACGCACAAACGGGCGTGCGTAAAGGTATAGTCGTCGATGCGTGTTTTAGACTGAAGAAACGAGCAATAGCTTTAGTTAGTAGCGCAGCTAATAATCGGTACCACGCAAAACGTACGCAGCGAATCAGTCAAAGTCGATCACCTGCCTCGTCTCAGTCTATTAATCGCTGTCTGTCATTTGCTGTCATTAGGGCAGGGAGGTTCGTCGGCAGACAGGCCGGCGCTTCACGGTCAATGGCAATTAGCCAGATCACTGTCTCGTGCCACAAAACGGGTGGGGCGTGATAGACTTTGGGAAAGATCGATTCTCTGCTAATTTTACGGTATAACGAACAGTGTTGGGCCGTTTACGGATGTAATTAGATAAAACGACGCACTTTGCGGTTCATTGGCCACTTGAGGGATAATTATTTTTTGGCTAGAGATAATAAATTCGAGTAAAAGAGAACCTCGTCAGTAATTATAACGTTTGATTATGGCATTACGATTTTTTCATAACAATTTTCGTACGCGAGCAAAAATCTCGTAAGTTGAGCTTTATGTTGAAAGCTTTATAAGTGGAAATATAAAGGTATATATAACGGGCGTCTTTTATCGCGCGGGGAAATATATATGCCGTGAGGAAAGTAAGGACTTTCGCTAGGTAGAAACTCACGAATGCAAATGGTCAATAATCACATAGTGGTCATGCGAGTGTAAGTATAGCGTACTTACACTGTCTGTATGTAGAATACTGAAACTGTCACCTTATAGGTAGCGACGACTAAATTAATGTAAAGAGAGACAGAGACATGGATTATTTCTTAATCACACCTTAACGCGTGTAGTCTGAAAGTCATACTGTAAAGCTGTCCAGGGGATGTCTCGGTCTGTCGCGACGACGTCCTTTAGACGCCTTTTAAAAGTCTCTAAAAGGCTAAAAATGTCTCCCGGACATTCCGTGTTGTCCGAGCCGATAGCTTAAATTACACGTAAAGTGATAGTTTAGATATTCTACTCGCCGTGATCACTCGCACTGTTTACTCGAAGACGCCCAAGACTGGTATACGTATAGCCGTTTAAGTGACACGCGTCGCGAGTAGTGCGCCGCGCCGTGTAAGTTTGTGCGAATTTGTACTCTTTAAGAAGAAAGTGCGGCGATAAGTTCTGCCTCTCCTTCATCCTTCATCCGATACGATCCGCAATAAACGAGATCGCGCTATCTCCTCTTTTTTTTTTTTTTTTAATATATATATATTTCACACATAGAACTTCTCGCGCCACTTGCAAATGACGACTCGCAGTTGCACGCATTAAAAGTGCTACAACTTTATTTGATTTCGCGAAGAGAGGGGACTGATCAACGCTAAATATCGCGGCAGCCGCATCAACATATCGACTGTGATGGAGTTACTGCTGCGACGACGCTATCATCACTGTCACCGCGGCAGCGACGAGATCTATCATATAGATACGTACCCAGCAAACCACAAATATAACTGTCATATAAAATAAATGTAAAATAATGTACACTTACGTATATTTTACGTAACAGCTCTATCTGTATTTGCTGGGTAGCTAAAGAGAGAGAGAGAGAGGAAGAAAAAATGAAAAAGAAAAAGAGAGAGACGATTGACGTTTATAAGGAATGTACCTAGTTTTTTAGGGACCTAGATAAAGCAAAGCTTCCTATTTTCTCGCCCAAACGAAAGACATATCCGCGTTTCGGCCGGAAATGTTTTAATTGAGATTTTATTTTATGATTTATCGTTACGATTGTACACACACATTATTGTAATACGAAATCTCGCATTGAGATAACATTTAAATGTAACAAATGTTTCAAGCGAAGTTTGATCCTAATCTAATTTTGCTGTGCCAGCCGCGTATTATAATGAAGTGATCAGAGAGAAGAAAAACGCAGAAAAAAAAGAAAGAGATGAAGTGAGAGAAATTTAGATTCATATGCTTTTCAGGGAGTATTTTATAAAATCGATTCTTGCGCACACTCGAAGAGGGAAATATAAATCCTGCCCGGCCGTAACGATCGGATTAGCGTAATAGTGATACTAACATTAACAACACTATTAACAATAGTCGTAACATGTAATTGTTAAGCTATAATCGGTGTTAAGGTATTATCGTATTAATAATTTGATACTCGTTAGCTCTGATTGTTTGCATAATCAACCTTTCGGTCTACCGTGTGGAAGGCGAAAGGATAAATGGATCAAGTTTGTTGCGATTAAGGTGAAACAAGAAACGCGAGATAGGTATTAAAAATGCGACGGTGAACGAACGAGGGTGGGAAGGATTGCTTTAAGTGGTGTATAATGTATACCAACGGGTGAATTAGGAACGATAATCCCTTTCTGAAAATTCAGAAGCTACAGCGAAGCTGACCTGTTTCCTTTCTGATTCATTTCAATTCATTGTCGTAATTCTTCAACGTGGAGACCGCGTTTCGTCGCTGACACACGTATTCGCAACAAGTCGCGCTACTGCCCGATCTATAAACGGAATTATGTTTAAGCGAGAAGAGACGTGGAAAAGTAGGAAGCGGCGTCTCTCCGGCGTAACCGGAGGCGAGATGCCGATGCATATATGTCTGCTCCAGCGAGGGTGAGAATAACGTCCCACTTGTACGCTACGTCAATTTCGATGTCAATGTTGTCCTCTTCGTCGCTCATGTATATATATATATATACATATACATATATATTTATAGCCGTAAGTGTGTATATTTTATACTGAAACTGGTATAATGTGGAGGAGAGTAGGATTAATTAAGGCGCGGTCATATTGATAGACTATAGTCGAAAATTTCGAAAAACCAAAGGATTCGTGCGCGATTTCCTCGCGTACCGTTAATTCGCGGGCAACAGAGTGAAAGAGGTGAACGAGAAGATGAAAAGGCGCGTTTCTTCGCGAAATCAATTATTTCCTCGACGTTATCGAAGCAATATGGAGACGAGATGGAACAATATAATCAGTCACATTTAATACATGCATGTAGCTGCTTTAATTTTTACTTTGATTATTTTTCACTTGCTCTTAATTCTCCTTCAACATTGCTTTAATGACGTCGTAGACATTAAAATGTATGAGATAAATATAATAACCGGGCATTATTATACGCTGAATGAATGAGTTACAATGCGAAAAGTGTCGTGTAGTCTATTTTTACGGCATAATACGGCTAATAAGCTTCCACTTTTTTAAAACACTGATGTACGTCAATCCTTTCAAATATCGTCCAAATCTTAATTTACGCCTTACATACGTTTGAATTACTTGTCTTTTTATAACGTGAAATCAATTTCAAAATAAATGACTCAAATTATGTTACGTTACTTTACGCGGGAAATCGGCAAGCGCGAATTATATGAATTTTGGGTACGTTAAAATTACTGTTCGTATAATAGAATCGCGGCTATAAAAACAATGGTGCATTAATGAAATGAATTCTCGACAAAGAAAAATTGACAAATCTAAATTTCTCTCGCGCATATCACACACCTACGAAAATCTATTTTTGTTAAATTCACTTTTAACATTAAATCTATCGACGTTTAACACATATACCTATTTCTACTAAATATAATATATATATACATTTTTCAAAAAGGGATAAAGACGGAAAGTAAATTTTGATCAATTATAATCATATTACATATTGCAATAAAAATCACGGAAAATCTAAAAAAAAATATCATTATAAATTTGAAAAAAAAGTTACAAAACCAAAGCAGTCAAAATGGCTGATTTTGTCAGCTCTGATTCCAATATTAATCATATCATCCATGTTTGCTTTTCGTTGTTTTTGGCATCCATTTTGCATTTTTTCTTCGTACATTCCCATATTAAACAACGGTTTCTATCTTTATTATTATTAACTTTATTATTTTTTCATTTTAATTTATAGATTTATGAACTATCGAAAAATCAATTACTGGTGCATTTTCTCTTAATTTTTGCCTATGAGAAACACATTTTTCTAATAGCGGTAAATATATGAAGTTCTATCGTACTATAATATCAGAGATATACCGGTGAAATACCAAACACATCATTTTCATAAACTCGCGTGCTCCTACGTATTAAATTGTTGATCATATAGCAAGATATATATTTATCTGTGATATTTTGCTTTTGTATTTTTGAGAGAAAAGAGTTCGACTCATTCCAATTTAATTGAGAAAGCGGGACAGGATTTCTCGATCTCATGCGTGGAACATTTTATATGCTATTGAGACTGTTATAGATTAGAATTACGAATACGCAGATTCGCTTGTATTCAAAAGCATATATAGTATTTTTTTTCTTTTTTAATTTTTATTTCTCATATTAGTGGTTTTTGCTCAGCGTAAATAATTTTGGTTCACTTCTCGTAGTGCTTTTATAGCCTTCTCTTCTCATAAAGTACAAAGTGTGAAGTGGAAAAGATTTAACAAACAAAGTATATATTTAATTGCCTGGACAAATAAATTTATTAATGATAAAAATAATGTAATTAATCTCTCTATTTTAATATTATCTATTATATTAAAATTCTCGAAAATATAGTTCGGAAAACATACGAGATCGTTTATAAAAGCACTGGAGTTTGAACGGTTCAGGAATGTAATAAATATAGATAAAAGCTTCCCGGCACATAGGCGACATATCCGTATTTTGATTTTTTGAGTTCTTTCTTCCGCAATTCCGTATATATCTTAGCAAATCTCGTACATTCAGTTCTTTTATCGCTCTAATTATAATTAATTCACTCGACTTGCAGATTGTGTTTTGCAATTACATGCACGCTATACTTCGCATTCACAATCGAACGGGGCAAGTCCGAGAAAGGAACGCAGGTTTTTATAGCTGTCGATGTAACGAGGACAAGTAATAAATTAGCTACTAAAAACGACTTATATCCCGTAATTGTAAGGAAGAATTTAGTTCAGCGGTATTTTAAGGTATTACATATATAAGAACGCGAGACGAAGACGCGGAGAACGTAGTTCGAAAAGGATCGGCCGACAATCCACGATTAAAAACTTCGCACTTCCCTAATCGATCGAACCGGCCACGATAACTTCTGCGTTTCGGTTCAATCTGTGCGCGCGAATGCGAATCGTCGTTCTACGCTCATCTACCTTGAGGGGTGATAATAGTCTTTTCACAATATGTAACATATATTTATACACAATACCACGCACTATTTTTGCGTACTGGCGTGATAAAATATCTTAGCAGATACGACTGTGTTATTTGTACGAATAATCTCATTCGAGGCACAGGATGTCCTTCCGCATCATTCATGAATAAATAGATTTCTTTACAATACGCCGCAATTATTACTTCACCTGCATTCTTATTAAAACAATTTTAATTACACACGTATGTAACGTCTATGAAATTGTATGCTTTTTTTTATTTGAATCTCTTCTGCAAATTGCTACGAAGCTGAGTATAACTACATTTTTAAGCGTAAAAATATATTTTTTAAATGTTTTAAATCTTTTACGTCTTTTAATTTACAGAAAATTTTGCAAAAGTTGTACTGCTGAAGAATTACAACAGCATCAACTTAAAAACTGTCTTAAAATTTGTAATTATTCTATGCCAGTTACTATCTCTATCATTTTTTTTATTTTTCTCAATAAAAACTAAAATATTGATTACCTAAAATATAACATTCGTGTACAAAAATATTTTTTGTTAATCTATACGTAATCTAAAGTAAAAAAAATACTTAAAACTTGTATACAATTTTCACGCAAATTAAATTATCGTAAATTAATGTTACAATTAACATTTCAGTTATAAAAATGATCAAATTTTTTATTTTGTATTATATTGTATAGCTATAAATAGATAAAATTAAAATTTAAAATTATTGTATAAATGCAAACAATAAAAGATCGTAAATGCTTATTATTAATCTATATTTGTTGTAATAGACATTTTTATTTTTTACAGATTTTCAGTCATAGAAAAAAATTATAATGTTGTGTAATAAAAAATATAATGGCATACTAGAATGGATATTAAATATCCAATAACATGAATGGATATTAAAATTAATAATACAATTGTTTGTCAAACAATATACATCACAAAATAGATTATTGAGAGATAAATTGTGCTAACTTGACAAAAACACTTACTGTTTACTTCATGTGATTTTCAATTTGTCTTATGCTCTATTGATTTAGTCCATAATTAATTACAAACAAATTTATTTTGTACATTGACTTGAAAACAATATACAAAATTACAAATAATATACAAGTTTAGTCTAAATACGAAGATTACAGAGGCACGGAAAGGGTGGTCATCGCGGATTTAACTTCATCATAGAGATCTTTATAGTCAGAATGTTCCTTTATGAGTACCATAAGACTGCCACGCTTCATGCCCATTGCTGAACCGATATCCATTCTCGACGGAGTGAAACAATAGGGAATGTTTTTGTCTTCACATACAATCGGTAAGTGGCACATAATATCTATGGGATGTACATCTCCAGCAAAGACGACCAAACTGAAATGAGAAACATTTGTACAATATCCTCGACATGCAATTCAAAAATTCAAAAAATAAAAGGAAATAAACGCTTACCCCGTTTCACCTTTGCGAAGATGCTTTTGCACGTCCTTTAAACCATTGCGTAAATACGTCTTATGTTTGGATGCTGAAATGAGTGAAAATTGTTCGTATAATTTCTGTTTTTCCATCTCGAGCATTTTCAATTTCAACAGATACACTGTATGTACACGCAATCCAGAAAAATATTATTAAATAGTACTACTTTATACATTATATATTAAAATATGTTAAGCTATTGTGCGTTGCAAAAGTATTCGTATTATTAAATAACATTACGTGTATGTGCCTACCTTTCTTTATACATTTGTAAATTTTTTTGGTTAGCTTCTTCGGTGCCATGGGTTTGGAAATAGCGTTCACAAATCGCAGCTTTTCCTCATAACTGATTTCTGGAGCATCGATATTTTCGTCCTTCACTATGCTATCATCGATCTCCATTTTAATAGCTTCCTGCCTTTTCTGTGAATATTTTATTATTTTCAACTTCACGCGAGAAAACAGTACACGTGTTCGTTCAAACGCTATACGCTATAATATCAGAAAATAACCTAACCCAAGAGAGAGGACATGCGTGATTGGTGCGCGGTGCAGAAAAGTGGATGTAGTTGCCGTGTAGTTTACATCCGCTTCGTCAGGTGGCATTAGTGCGCGAGGGCATTTTTCTCTCTGGACGGCTCTCTTAGGTTAGGTTTGGAACGGTACGACTAGCCAGACGGACTTTCACAAGGAAAACAAGCCTGAGCTCTTGGCCTCTATTAAGGGCTCAGTGAAGCTGTGGTACTAAGATTCGCGCAAGAATCTGTAATCCAAAGGCTATAAGAAGAAGAAGAAGAAGAAGAAGGTTAGGTTTCTCCGATGCAAGTAGACTGGATGCTGCGGATGTTGTCACCTGTAGATGTAACGTATTTGAATACGTGTACCATTCTGCCGTGAAGTTAAAAGTAAGCAAATATCATCTGAGACGCAGGCATGTCCACTCTCTCACGCTCTTTTCTGCTCATAATGGAAAACAATAAAAAAAAAACAGACTCGATCGTTGTACTGTCGCGTAGTACAACGCTGTTGATGATTTTTTGTGACGATTGATACTGCGTGAAAAATGACTGCATTTTATGATATTGCAGACACCGTCGGCGGTCCACAAAATAGATGAAAGATGCTCCTGAATTTTTGCGACCCTCGCCTGCGTGCCAAAATCAAGTGCAACGCCATCAGCACGGACGAGTACGAGGTGACCAATTTGATAAACGGCTCCGGCAGAGGTTACATGGCGTACTCCTGCATCAAGCCGCCGATCGACATTGAGATCACGTTTTTCTGCAACGTGCGCATCAATCACATACTGATTTGGCCGTCCGTCGGGTCGCAGAGGTCGTCGGGCTTTCGGCTCTGCGGCAGAAGCACCGACGACGTAAGCACGCCGTACACGCAGCTGTCCAGCGGGTTTCTGACCCGCCAGGATGCCGGTTTGTTGTTCTATCCGAATGACGGTTCCGTCGACTGTGCGCGCATCCCCGCGCCAGCGAATTTCACGAGGCGTTGCATCGGCGCTTCCAAGGGATCCGTGACCAGACACGCGCGTGCCTTGCGCGTGTCGATATTCAAGACGGAGAACTCGGTGCCGGCGTTGGGGAAGATTGAGGTGTGGGGAACGGTGTCCTCGCGGTGTGAGAAAAGTATCGTTGTGACTGTAAATTATTTATGGAACGTACCTCAGGTGCTGTCCGTACTGCCTGTAACTGAGGTCGAAACTGATGTTGCTCTTCCTGCGGCTCGGACACCAGACACCGGAGACAATAGGTGTGTATACAATTATAATAACAGGTGTACACAGGGGCGTCCACAGGATTTTTTTTTAGAGGGGTGGGGCATGATCTTAGAACATGTATTATATCTAGTTGCTGTACGATGTGATGTTCTCTTAAACGGTTTCTCTTATTTTTAAAGATAGAAGTAGTAATCACGATATTTACAAGATTTCTTTTAAGCACTGCTGCTATGTGGTACACATAGATGTCGAGTAAATTAGTCGATTAGTTGTTTCCACTATTTGTTTTATGCAGAATGTTTTCTCAAATGTATTGATACATGAAATTTTATTTGAACTTTTCTATTGATCTGTAACAATAAGATGCATATTATGTCTCAATATATACTCACTCACAAAATAGAACAGGTCATCGTAACATTATCATTAAGGCCATTTCTTTTTATGGGTGTATATATATATATATATATATATATATATATATATATTATAACAAATTTATATTCTTTGTTAGTAAATAATCATGAAATATTTAACGCTGAAAATGTCTTGGAAAGAAAAGTATAGACATTGTAGTAATTCTAAGGCTTAGAGCACAAATTTTAGAAAATTTTCTATACCTAGTGTATATCATAAAAGGCATACGCTTTAAAAAATGCTCCCGCATAGTCAGTTATAGTTTGACATGAAATCTTGAACTGTTTTAAGTACACAGAGAGAATTTTATTTTAAAATTTATATGTTATTTATATGTTTATTTTAAAACATATGTTCTAAGGGCATGATCCAAATTTTTAGTACAAAATGTAATCGCGAGGAGCAAATATCCAAACGTGGTGTGCTTGTGTTGTACTATAAGCTCTTTCTCACATTTGACAAACACATTTATTATTTGTAAAAATGAGAGCAAATTCTGAATTTTTTTGTACTTGTCTGATTGTCCAGGGAGGGGGCGAATGTCCCTTTTGCCCCTCCCCCCCCCCCTCTGCGGACGCCCGTGGGTATATAATACAGGCATGATTATAAAATATAATATGTTATATGTATAATATATATTCCCTATTTAATATATCGTTATTAATATTTTTCACACAGACTGAAGAGTGAGGCAGAGTTCAAAATTCCCGAAAGCTTCCTGGACGTCATTACATGGGAATTGATGACTCAGCCGGTCATACTACCCAGCGGTCAAATAATAGATCAGACCACCTTGGAGAAATACGGCGACAACGAAGCGAATTGGGGTAGATCGTTGTCAGATCCGTTCACGGGCTTGCAATTTAACGACGATCGCAGACCGGTCATGGCGTCCGCGCTCAAGTTGAGAATCGACAAGTTTTTACTGGACAACAGCGATCGGAATGAGATAAAGAGAATGCCGAGAGTCTTGGGCCGGGATCCAGCTGTGATGGGAGACAGAGGAATAATTGAAGTACCGAAATGTGCATTGAGTTCGTTGAAAAGGAGAACTGCCGAGGATGACATTAGGCTGTTAAATGTACGTAAGCAGATGAGAGACAGCAACTCGCAGCCTGTTGCGAGAAAGTATTGTCATAAACTGCCGATAGCAGTTATGCCCAGCCGATCTACTGCCAATGCTGTAACAAAACCGAGACAGCTCCGTAATGTGATTCGGCCTTCCTCCGAATTAGCTCGTGACAATTCTCAAAATGATAACAGTGATGAATTAGGTACACTGACCAATAACGTTACTGGTTTAGAGACCCTGTTTTCCCCGCTACGACGCGTGCCACAAACAGTAGAATTACATAAAATAGCTAACAATTGCGAATGTTGTACCGACAGTGCTTTTTATAAGCTTCCATGTAAACATGTGATTTGCAGAAAAGTGTTATTGTCTATTGAAAATAACCAGTGCAAATCCTGTGGATTTTCTTACAAATCGTGCGAGATTGAGCGAGTTCATGAGAATATTTTAAGAAGATAGTAACCATAAGAGTACACACATAAAATATAAATCAGCGCAACTCAAGTTTTTAGCATTTATTGTATGTCAGATTTTGATCACAGTATGCAAAATATATTATTGTAACACATTGAATCTTTAGAGCAATATTACACAATTTGACAATTTTAGTGACAATAGCTAGAATCGCCGATATTTTGGCACGACATAACTTATGTTTATTGTGTTATTACATGTGTACGTATACATTTATAAGTGTATAATACTTATAAAAGTTTATTTTTTTATCTTATATTGTATATATATATTTTTTTGTTACTTTTTCTCTTTATAGGAATCATTTGAATTATTCATGAGATCTTTTATTTTATGTACCATTCCTTTCACAGCATAATATTTTGCTTTTTCATAGTTGTTATTACATCTTTTTTAAAATTAAATACTTTACATCGAATAGTAAAAAATTTAGCATGTGATGGTCTAACATCCCGGATAAGAATATATTCTGGTTGTTATAAATATATATATGTAAATGATATGTGACAACTTGGAAATAAAATTCATATATTGTTTCTTATTTTGTACGTTTCTGCGTGAATTTTTTAAATAAGCAACATTATAAATATTTTACATAATTTATATACTTTGTTTAGTTTATATACTAGATTTATATATATATATATATATAAATAATAAATTTATAAATTTATACATTATAAATTCGTAATATATATTTTCTATAACAAAACCGACATTTGTGCAACATATTTTAATAAAAGTAGAGATATAGGCATTTGAATACAAACATGTTGGAATCTCGATTATGTTTGCACGAAAATTTTGGAAATTACTTTCTTAAATTCATCTCTTTAATCATAATACTGTTTGTTATATTATAAATTTCATAGGTTGGAACCTATTGATTCATTTGGAACTTATGCCTATTTCAACAAGTATAATATACTTCAATATTTAAAAGAACCTTCGAATCGAATCTTCGAATGTAGTTGATTTGACATACAGTAATATTCGAATATCTTCTCAGTCATTGCACTTAGTTATAATTATGTTCTGGAGGTATGTTTGATTACAAAACGGCGAAACCGGAGCCTTGATTTTGTCGCTTGGCAACGTTGAACAGTGATAATAAATAATTACGGGTGTCCGGGCAAACGTAAAATGTAAGTGTATGTTCTGGATGTGGCGATGCTCTCTCGAAGGTGTCGGACTGCTTGTCGCTGTTGGTTGATACACTGGCCAAACCGGTGCTGCTTGTCCGTACATATTCCTCAACTCGCGCTCTCATCTCTTGATTCATCTTAAAGAAAAGAAAAACATTTACACGATTCATATCTGATGTTCGTCATGAATTCTCTCTCTCTCTCTCTCTGTCTCT